TATTTCTAATCTGATTTCCTCTATACATTTCTGCAGTTGTTTCTTTACTTCAGACACTATTTCAGAGATTTCAGGTGTGTGATTTCCAATTTCTACTATGCTATTGTCTCCTGCATTTGTTCCGGGTGGTCTCGGAGCCTGAGAATGCATTTTGCTCCTTCTCTTTGTCATTTTGTATGGCACTGTCTTTTGACCTTGGGTGGTTTGGCATAGTGTTTTGAGGCATCTCCATACTGACTTCTATAGTGGTTGTACAAGTTTATATCTCCACCAGTAATGAAGCACTCCTTTTTCCTATTGCCAGCATTTGGTGTAGAGCTTTGACAGAGTTATCTTAGTACCAGGTCCAGATCTACCCAGTTCAAACTGGTCCAAATGGGGCCGGGGAGATGTCTCAGTGGAATAAGCACTTCCCTGGCAAGCACAAGGGTCTAAGTTCATTTCCTGGTGCCATTAAAAACAAAAAACACTGGTCCAAGTGGTGTGTGGCTGCTGTGGTCTACTTCTTCCTGCTGCAGCCTTTGGAGATGAACCCTCTGTGCCACTCTGGCAAGATGTTCTGCTCGTGGATCAGCTGGGTGGGTCTTGCCTCTAGCCTCTCTACAGGGAGTTCTGCTGCAAGGTTCCACACCAGTTCTGTCTGATGGAAGAAGTTCCACTCATATGCTGGGCCTGGGCGCTCGCTCAAATGAAGATCTGGTGGGCCCTGGGCGGTCTCACATGCTGGGCCTGGGCTCTGGGTCAAATGAGGACCCAGAGAGCCCCAGGCGGTCCAACTCACACGCCACGCCTGGGCTCTGGGTCAAAAGAGGACCCCATTCACACGCCAGGCCTGGGCGGTGGGTCAAATGAGAACCTAGCAGGCCCCACGCAGTCTCTCACATGCCAGTCCTGGGTCGAACCCATTTTCTTGTAAATTCTTCTTTCTTAATGGCTGAGTAGGACTTCCATTGTTTATACACATTTTCTTTATCCATTCCATTTATGGGTATGTATGTCACTTCCAAGATTTAGCCATTGTGAATTGTGTAGTAAACATGGGTGACTCGGCCCGTGAGTCGAGACGTGGGGTAATGACCTGGAGGAGGAATGGGGATGAAAAAGACAGGGCAAGAGACATGAGAGACGAAGACAAGACAGGCTTTCTGACCAAGTCTCGTTTATTGAGGAAGTGAGCAGGGTCTAAATAGCTGTATAGTGGAAGCAGTTGGGTGGGACTAGTTGTGGATTGGTAGTGGAGATCCAGGACCACTGGAAGATGTCCAGGCAAGCAGGGATTGGTGCTGCAGCACTTCTTGCCCAAATAAGGGAAAATATAACAGGAGCGTTCTATCACCCCCCACACATGGGTATACATGGATCACTGTAATATGGTGCCTTCAAAGCTCTGCAGAAGATACCAGAAGAGGAATCATTGGGTGGTTTGAGGCATCTGCATACTGACTTCAGTTGTGGTTGTACAAGTTTATATCCCCACCAGCAACGAAGCACTCTTTTTTTCCTATTGCCAGCATTTGCTGTTTAACTTTTTTTTTTTTTAATTTTTTATTTATT